TTTTGTCCCTCCATACCCCAATGAGCCATCACACTTCTTCGCTGTGCCTCCTCACTCCTCCAGGACTATCATATTCTAATGATCCACTTGTTTTACACCAATCCAGAGGTCTCCAATGCACAACCAGAAATTTCACTCAAGCTATTAAACGTCACCGTTGGCATTACCTGTGCAATAGACTTCGTCATTCCCCTTCCTCCTTTCAGTTTTGGACTCAGTTTTGCATCCTCACTGGCCAGTATCACTCCCCTTCCTATCCTAACCTTGTGGATGATCAGGTTCCTGCTACCACACTCCTCAAGGCTAATGCTTTTGCACACCACTTTGAGTCACAGTTTAATTTCCACTACCACATCCCTTGACTTTGATGATTTCTCCGACATCTTATGACTGTCTGATCATACTTCTCCGACTCTTCGTCCCTCTCTCACCAATGTTTTAGAAACCAACCCCCTGTGTGCTCCAATTACTGCTCAAGATGTCCAACTTGCCTTACGTCATCATCGCAATTCAGCTCCCAGTCCAGATGGTCTCACCTATTCCCATCTCTCTAATGCACCTGCCTGCTAAGGTTATTACCCTATTGGACTTATTCTACACTTTTCTACTTCGCACAAGTTTCTTCCTTACTGCTTGGAAGTTATCAGACATCCTATTTTTCCTGAAACCATCCAAGCCACCAGTTTAACTAGATTCCTATAGGCCCATCAGTTTAACCAGCATCCCCAGCAAGACTTTTGAATGCATCCTTGTTCATCGCCTTCACTCTTTCATTGCAGACAATCAGTTGTTTCCACATACCCAGGCAGGTTTCCACCCTCATCTCTCCACTGCAGATCAGCTCATCAAGCTCTCCGATTTAATTACAAACCACTTCAACACCTCTAAATCTTTATGCCTCGTTCTATTTGACTTTGAAAGAGCCTTTGATTCTGTTTGGCACCGGGGACTGATCTACAAACTTCAATGCCTGTCTTTTCCTGCTTCCTACATTAGACTTACTTTTTCCTTTCTCTGGGATCGCCGAGCTACCATTTCCATCCATGGTATTCATTCTCGTCCATTCTCCATACATGCTGCCGTTCCACAGGGATTCGTCAATTCTCCTCTACTGTACATCCTGATATGCCAGTTCCATAGCCTCCAGTTTATCTCTTTCAATATGCCGATAACACAGCTTTCCTTGCCCTTTGTTCTACAATGGTCACCCCCAACAAAGTCCTGCAGAAAGACTCTTTTTTTCTGGTGCAGACACTGGAGGCTTACCCTCAAAGCTATTCTCTTTGGCCTGACTCGCCACAAGTTTCGTCCATGCCGCAATCCACTTCTCTTTGATCTCCAACTTGACAACATTCCTATTACCCTATCCAATACAGTTAATATCTTGGAGTTACCTTTGATTGCCATCTCACCTGGAAAGCACAACTGGTCATCCTACACACGAAGGTTAATTCCAGAAGGTTCATCCTGGGGTTTGAATCCCCAATCCCTTTTATATTCCTATCAAGCTTTTGTCCGACCCTGCCTCACCTATGGAAATGTTGTCTGGATCTCTGCTCCATCTTCACTCTATCATTAGCTGGAAGTTTTGGAACGCCACGCTTTACAAATAGCCTTTCAATTACGTCGTTCCAGTCCTACACAAGAATTATACTCTTTCATCACTCCCCCCATACTCGCACATCTACAAACGTGTGAAGTATGTTCACCACTGCTTCGATCATCACAACCCTATCTTCGACGAAATCCTATGCTATTCGGTAAATACCCCTCGCCAACTCTTACCTCCGACAGATCATCTCATGAACCTCTACCTTATGTCTTTCCCACCTGATCACCCCGACTACAATGCAACTCCGATGCCTGATCTTCCACCACACATCTATCTCTGATTACATTTCTTAATAGCGTGCATTAAATTCGTCTTCACCATCTCAGTACCTGGTCTCACTTACTCATCTTTCGTTGCTTCTTTCCACTGTGTACTTCTACATCTTCTGGCAACTGAGAGGGCACAACCCTCTGTTGGCCCGCCAGCCCTCCTGGCTGGAATGAAATGTGTACTTCTACATCTCCTAGCCACTGAGAAGGTGTAACCCTCTGTTGGCCCGCCAGCTCTCTGGGCTGGAATGAAATGTCGTCAAAAAATTATTTGTTTTGCTCTTCCAATCAGCACTGATGAATTGTGAATTCAGTCAGCTGCAGAGAAAGTAGCGAATATAAGAACAGATTAGGCCTAAGTTTTTTTTTGTTGTTTCGTTTTACTGATATTTAGTATTGGTAAAGAAAATAAATTAACAAAAATATAAGGTAAGTGAAATTGTTACGTCAACAACAACAACAACTAGAAACTTAATCCTATTAATAGGTGTTACGAGGGTTAACCGAAGTAGCTGTAGTAGAAGAAATAAAATGTTTTTATCATTAAGTAGACTCAAATTTACATTCTTCTTTTTACCAAAGGAACTAGACCAACAATTAAAACAGTATTAATTTCACTGTAGAAATTACCAAGAGTATAAACTTATTTTTCTCGAATCATTCTACAACATAGCGGCAAATTTAATTGTAAAGCTATGTACATAACACAGCAAAAATACAGAACCTGATCCTCCCAGGTCGCGAACAACAAACGACCAAACACCGATCCAGACAGACACCAAAAGAGACAAGACACAAGGGCAAACCTCTGTAAAAAACTGTTACATGTAGTGAGTAGGCTTAAAAAACAACCTCGGTTCAAGGGATATTTTGGTTGTTCATCTAACCAACCGACTGAGCAGTCACACTCCTGACACGGACATCAAATTGATACATCTTCGTCTATGGAAAAGAAAAAGCTATACAGTAACCTTCGATAGAAAAGAAGGCAAGGACAAATGAAGACGCAACCTAACACTGCTTCAGCGTCTTCGGAAATGGCTTCTTCTTCAAGGAAATATTCGTGTAAATCTAGCATAGGTGGCCAAAATAACAAGTTACTTTTCTTATCTTTTTTAGGTTTAAGGATAAAATGTGTTTCAAAATACAGAACGATATTACTCAGTTAATCTGTTTTTGTTTATTACAAGGTTGTGTTGGTTCTTCCAAAAGGATTACTCAAAACCCGTATTATCATAACGTTGTTGCGTCAGCGAGGTCACGTGACTAGTATCACGACACGTCCTTCTCTCGAACCTTCGTGAATTATCGGGAGACTACTAGATTGGGGGTAGTCTGGTATATATAAGACACTCACAACGTGACGGAACAGTGTAATGAGTAATTGAACTGCAGTCAGAGAGTATTGTTAAAGTTGAGCACGTGAGACGTTCGTTGTTATAGCGTTTGTTATAGCATGACTGTTGAAATTAAGTGTATCGTAAAGTTGTATTCGGAAAGAATAAACCAGTTTTATTAAGAAAGGACTTGTGTTGCTAAAGTTTCGTCGGAACGAATTTACGGAAAATTAACTAACGACTGGAGGTGTAACAACGTGAATATTAGAATATGTAATAAATGAGTAATGGATATTAGAATGTATAATAAATGAGTCATGGATATTAAAATGTGTAATAAATGAGTCATGAATATTAGAATGTGTATTACGTGAGGCGTGTACATTATGATGTGTAACAAATGAGTTATGGATATTAAAATGTGCATTAGATGAGACGTAGACAATAGAATGTGTAGCAAATGAATGGTGAATATTAGAATGTGCATTAGGTGAAACGTAGACAATAGAATATGTAATAAATGAGTCCTGGATATTAATATGTGTATAAAGTGAGACATGGGCAAAAGAATGTGTAATAAATGAGTCATGGATATTAAAATGTGCAATACATAAGTCGAGAATATTAAAACGAGCATTGAGTTGTGAATATTAAAATGTGCTTTGAGTGTTGAATATCGGAATGTGCAATAAATGATTATCAAAATGTGTATTGAGTCGTGATTATTAGAACGTGCAATAAGAATATGCACTTATTAAATGCACATTCTCACCAAGAGATAATCTATTCTAGTCATCCCTCTGTACGCCAGTGGCCTCCACCATTATGATGAACTTTTCGTGAAATCACAATATTTTACCTCTGCAAAACATATTGTTGCGTCAGCGGGGTCACGTGACTAGTATCACGCCACGCCCTTCTCTCGAACCTT